GAATTTGCATGATGTAGCTACAAATGGAATTTGCACAATGTGTGCATTCATGTGGTTTGGACATGAGAATAATTCCTTTATCCCGTGGTCTTGGGAAGAGTCAAAACATTCACTTGCCCTTCCTCATGAACAAAGCCAGTGCTCAGTCAGTATTCTCTATATGGAGGATGGAAGGATGGGTAGAGGGATGTGAGAGGGACACACAGAGGCACGAACACAGGGATGAGTGGAGGGATGGGTGGGGGAGGGGTGGAGGGATGAATAGAGAGATGGATGGGTGAATGGATGGAGGGATGGCTGGAGGAATGGATGGGTGGAAGAATGGGTGGAGGGATAGATGGAGGGAGGGATGAATGGAGGGGTGGGTTGAGGGACGGATGGGAGAGTAATGGATGGAGGGATGGGTTGAGGGATGGGAGAAAGATAGAGGGATATAGGAGGGATGGGTGGAAAAATTAATGGAAGGATGGGTGGAGGGATGGATGGAGGGAGGGATAGATGGAGGGAAGAGTGGAGGAATGGGTTAGTGGAAGGGTGGAGGGATGGGTGGAAGGATGAGTAGAGGGATGGATGGAGGGAGGGATGGATGGAGGGAGGGATAGGTGGAAGAATGGATGGAAGGATGGGTTGAGGGATAGATGGGGAGGGATGGAAGGATGTAGGAGGGATGGAGGGAGGGATTGGTGGAGGGAGAGATGGATGGAGGGAGGGATGGATGGAGGGAGGAATGGATAGAGGGAGGGATGGGCGGAGGGATTTGGGATGGATGGAAGGATGGAGGGAGGGATGGATGGAGGGATGGGTGGAGGAATGTAGGAGGGATGGATGGAGGAATGGGTGGAAGAATGTGGGAGGGATGGATGGAAGGAGAGATGGATGGAGGGATGAGTGGGGGAATGTGGCATGGATGGAAGGATGGGTTGAGAGATGGATGAATGGAAGAGTGGATAACAAGATATGGGAGGGATGGATGGAGGGACAGGTGGAGGGGTGATGGACAGACTCCAACCTTGGGTGGAGCTCCTTTGAAGAAGCTTCAATCTATCCCTGGGATGCTGGCTGTGGAACAAGGGTCCCCTGAGTCTTGGACCTTTTGATGAAAAGTACTGAGACCTTGCAGCAGGTTTGGTGTTTTGTTGGGGAAAACCGGACTGAGAAAGTGCCCAGTCTGGCTGTATTGCGGTTCTCTGGGGAGGCCGGTATGGAAAGAAATAGTCTTGAGTGAGAGGTAAACTCTGAAGCCCTTCCACTGTGGCATGTAACACGCTAAGGGACACATGTATTCCTGTTCAGTCCAGACCCTGGGGCTGCCCAGCAAATGAGGACACCAATTTGATGAGGGCAGCTCTGCAGAAACCCCGGAGGGGGGCGCGGGGCCGGTTGTGGACCCCGAGTGTCTTGTGCCACTGACATTGAAATCATTATTTATCAGCAGAAAACAAAAGCAAACTTCAGCTGGAGGCATGGGAGAAGGTGGACCTGAGTTCGAATCTGAACTCTGCCAGTTGCATAACCTTGGCCAAGTCACTCAAGCGATGTGAGCCGACCGCATCTGTAGCACAGTACGATGACAGTCCTCACCTCCTAGGGTGTGGGTGCTCCTGGCTCAGGGCCTGGGTACAGGGAGGATGTGCTGAGTGCTAGGTGGAGCATCACTCGTGGTGTGAGTGACTGTCTGGGCAGAGAAGCCAGAGGAGAAGCTGCCCACACAAGGGCGGCCATCCGTCTACCCACTCCTTCCTCCAAAGGTCTCCTCTCTGGGACCCCGAGGATCCAAGAGTCACCAGGATTCCAGGACCTCCAGGATGTGTGGAGACACTTTCAGCTGCTCTTCCCTCCTTTAAGTCAGACTCGGACCCTTCGGCTCCCGTTCCTCAGCCTTGCTACTCCTGCCTGTACTAAGGGCTCATTTCGGTACCACGGTGGGGGGTGTGTGCATGTGGGTTCCAAGCACTGCGCTGTTGCTGACTCAGTATCCATGTGTTCTAGACATCAGATAATTTTCCCTCCCTCTTCACCTCCCCACCCAAATCAGTGCATCAAGGGACAGCAGAAAGTTCTAGGCATGGAAAGCCTTTTAAGCAGCAGCATCTATTTGGGGGTGCACACAGGCATCAATAAGGCCTGGCGTTTGGACTTGGCTTTTTCCTGTTTTGCTGGGTGACCTCAGGCAGCTCACCAATGTGCTTGGCGAGTTGGTTTTTATGTTGGACCACTCAGTACAATAACAGTAACTAGAAGTGATGGAGTGGCTTGTGGCTTAAAGGAGGTGACTATCACCTAGGCCAGCCACTCAGATTCAAGACACAGGATTGGTTACTGCAACTATAAATGCTGTTAAAATATAACGACTTGAAAGTGACAATGTGCGATGTAAGTGCAATCTTATGTAGTGTAAGGTTAGTTCACATAGTGATAATGTTAAAATATACCACAAGTCAATAAATAAGATTATATTGCCTTTTATTTTTATTTTTTAAATTTTTTTGAGATGGGGTCTCACTCTCTCACCCACGCTGGAGTGCAGTGGTACGATCTCGACTCGATGCAACCTCTGCCTCCTGGGCTCAAGTGATCCTCTCATCTCAGCCTCCCAAGTAGCTGGGACTATAGGCGTGCACCACCATGCCAGGCTAATTTTTGCATTTTGGTGGAGACAGCGTTTCACCATGTTGCCCAGGCTGGTCTTGAGCTCCTGGACTCAAGGAATCTGCCCACCTCAGCCTCCCAAAGTGCTGGGATTACAGACATGGGCCACCATGTCCAGCCTCTGATTACATTGCCTTTTATAAGCTGCTTTTGGATCAGATGAACGCATCTGTGGCTTCCGTGAAAGAATATATTGCATTTAAAAATCACAGTTACGGCTGGGCATGGTGGCTCACGCCTGTAATCCCAGCACTTTGGGAGGCCGAGGCGGGTGGATCATGAGGTCAGGAGATCAAGACCATCCTGGCTAACATGGTGAAACCCCATCTCTACTAAAATACAAAAAAAAAAAAAAAAAATTAGCCAGGCATGATGGCGGGTACCTGTAGTCCCAGCTACTCGGGAGGCTGAGGCAGGAGAATGGCGTGAGCCTGGGAGGCGGAGGTTGCAGTGAGCCGAGATGGTGCCACTGCACTCCAGCCTGGGTGACTGAGCGAGACCCCATCTCAAAAAAAAGAAAAAAAATCACAGTTACAGTGATTTGCTAGATTTTACCTCCAGTGAGGTGGGACCCCAGAGGGTGCCCATCTGTGCAGAAGAGAGACAGGGTGTCACTGAGGGCTGACTGGGTCCCTGCTGGCTGCGGAGGACAGGTGGAAGGGTGGAAGCGGGTCCAAGGAGAGGGGGCCTGGGGCTTGGTGGGGGTGGACCAGGAGGAGGCAGGTGCTGGACAGTACACAAAGGTGAACTGCTGGGACTCTCTGCCCGCATAGCTGCCGGGGACAATGAGACAGGAGCTCAGGAGGACACTGCGGTTTATTGTTCAGTGCCTGAGATCATGGCGATGCTCAATTCCTTTGTGGTTTAAAAATCAACTCCTGCCCAAGCCCCACTCCAGGCAGACGTAGTTCTCCCGTGCTTGTCCCTCCATCCTCCATGTCACCCTCTCCTAGTCACTGCAACCGTGATCAATCCCTGCTTGTCAACTCAAACCTCAGTTTCTCCTGGAAGCTTTACTGCCCCTTCCCCGGGGGTGCCCTGCCTCGTGCCCTCCTCCGCCACCTGTGACCCTCCCCCATACTTGGGGTATGTGGTCCGTGCTGGCACTTCTCACTCCCTGGTTTCATCTACTCGGCTGGACTGGCAGCTGCTCACTGGCAGTCTGTGTAAGCAGCTTCCCCTGGAGCCCATCTCCAAGGTGTGATGGGACTCTCGCCCCCTGGAGGTGTGCAGCAGGCAGTCCTGGCGAACAGCCCTGAGTCCAAGCAGACATGGATGGTAGTAGGATTTTCCGGAACAGTGTCCCCTCTATTAGTCTTCCCAGCATGTGCCTCGGGTCCACACAATCTCAACCTGCTCATTACACCCACACTAAAGATTACAAAGGGAGCTCCTGCCCTGTTTTCTTTACCTTCTGTTTTATTTTTGAGACAGGGCCCCACTGTGTTGCCCAGGCTGGTCTTGAACTCCTGGACTCAATCCATCTGCCTGCCTGAGCCTCCCAAAGTGCTGGGATTACAGGCATGAGCTGCTGGAAAAGCCCCACCAAGCTTTTATTCATTGAATCACATCCATCCTGCCCTCAGAGCCTCCAAGGATTCTGGGAGGTGCACAGGGCCGGTGAATGTCCCCATTATGCAGATCAGGACCTGGGAACCAGGGAGGCCTGAGTGGCTCAGGGCCACTGTGGTGAGGTCTGTGTCTCCTGACTTGGGTCTTCTCCAGGGTCAACCCCAGATTTTCTGTGCAGCCCCTCCTGGGTGCAGCCAGGTGCCTGGTGGTGACAGCACCACCAGGGGGCAGCAGGTACCCATGGCATTATTGGGGGGCAGCTGCCTGGGTCCCAGACCTGGCCGGTCCTCTTGGCCAGAGCAGGCAGGGCAATGACAGTGAGGACAGAGGCCCCCTTCTTGCTGAGGGAGCCACCTGGGGAAAGAGACATTTAGTGCATCAATGTCCCGTGCTCCAGGCGAGGGGTTGGGAGAGTGGGTAGTTCTTCCTCTCTCAGCCCTTTCTGTCCCCCCACCGTGGATAATTTATCCGTTCATTCTTCACAAGCAAGTCTGGTGGGAGCGGTGTCCCCCCACTCTAGAGCCGAGGGGTCGAGGCTTTGCAGGAGGAGGCATCAGCGCAGGCTCTCAGATGGGGCTGGAGGGGCCGGCTCAGGTTTCACTCCTGGCTTTCTGATTTCTCAGGGAGATGCCGATGAGTCCAAACTGCTGCCCCATCTTCCTCCGGTGAGCAAGGCTCTCCCCCTTGCCCTAAAGGTGCCCACTGCTGCTTCCTCGGGGAAGGGCAAGAGACGGGAGCCGCCGGCTCACCTGTCACCTGGCCTGAGTTTACCACTGCAGGCCAGACCCTAAGCTGGGACCCCCTGCTTCCACTTCAAGTGGAGAAGGGGCGAGTGTGACTCTCTGCAGAGGCCAATTTCCAGGACAGAAGCCCCATCGGAGGCCCTGGACCCAGGGGACCCTCTCTGGGCTCCCTCCTCGCATCCCCCTGTTCTGGCCCCTGCACAGGGAAGCCAAGGGGTAAGGAGTCCGGGGGCTGCCCAGTGCTGCCCCAGCTCGTACAGGCCCAGGATTCCACCCGAGTCCAGGGTGGGGGCCCTCAGAAACTGCACCCCAGTCTCCGGGGCTGAGCTAGTCTCAGAGAAGGGCTTGGACTTGCCCGGGGTCCCCCAGTGAATCAGCAGTGAACACCCGCGGTTCCTGGCAGCTGAGCCAGGATCCATATAATTTCAATTGCAGAATCTGTTTGGCCTTGAAGCCCCTCCCACTATCACACGTTGCCAGCTGGACAGAACGCGCCCCCACCACCCAGGGTGTGGCCCAGAAGGGAGATCAGGGCGGATCAGCACGGGGGCCGGCTGCGACCCTGGGCCGGAGAGCACCTTCCTGCCCTCACTTCTGTTACGCATTCCGTCCTGGACGCCAAGAACTGCCCGCTGGGCAGCTGCGAGTGGCCAGGACTCTGGGCCAAAAGCTGGGGAATCCTGGCCTTTATGCAGCGTCGGGGGTCTTCCTGTGGGCCCCCGGCCAGGGCGGAGGACAGGAAGAGGGCTCTGGGAGTCCTGGTCCGTGCGCCTTCGGCCTCAGCCTCGGGTATCCCGCTGGGGCGGCTTGATGGGCCAAGGGGGCTCAGGAAGCTTCGGCCCAGCCCGGTGCCCCCTCCCGAGTCTGTCATTTCCGAACGGCCATGCGAGGGCGCCCAGCGCGACAGGGACCACCTCCTGCCCTCCACGGAGGCCCAAAGACACCCAGGAGGGACGCCCGGCCATCACTCCAAGGGCGAGGTCGCTCCCCCATGGAGAAGGGCTCCCCAAAGTCCGAGCGCCCTCGGAGAAAGTCGCCGGGACCTGGGCCTTCGCCTCAACCCCCGCCCACCGCAACTTTCGCAGGCGGTAGCGGGGCAGGAAGTGGGGGGGCGGGGGCGGGGGCGGTGCTTGGGGCGCGGGGAGGTGCCAGACGAGTGCTCCGGCCCCGCCCCTGCCCCGCCCGGCCGTGGCCGCGCCCCCTGCGCCCCCAGCGCCCCGGAGCCGCTGAGCCGCGGAGTCATCGAGTCGCAGCGCCGGGCGTGGGGACTGCGGGCGGGGCGAACAAAGCGGCGGCGACGCGGACGGCCCAGGCCCGGGACGCGCGGAGCGAGCGACCCCACCGGGCCTTTGTCTCGGGCGGGGCAGGAGCGGCGGCGGCCGCGGGGCGCCCGGAGCGCAGAATGCGGCGCCCGGCGGCGCGGATCGGGGAGCGCTGCGGCGACTGGCTGCGTGGAGCCCGGCCCGGGGCCCGCGGGCACTTGCGTGTGTGAAGCGGGGAGATCCGGCGCGCTGCCCGTTGCCCGCCCCGCGGCCGCACGTGGGCGGGAGCGGCGGCCCGAGAGGAGCCCGAGGAGGAGGAGGAGGAAGAGGAGGGGACGCGCGGCGGCGCAGCGGGGGACCTGGGGCAGCCCGCGCGAAGCCCCGCCCCGGTCCTGAGCCCCGCGCGCGCGGGCGGGATGCCCCGCGGCCGCTGCACTTTGGCTCCAGCGCTGCCCTGAGCCGGTCGGGCCCGCGGGCGCCATGGAGCAGTGGCGGCAGTGCGGCCGCTGGCTCATCGACTGCAAGGTCCTGCCGCCCAACCACCGGGTGGTGTGGCCCTCGGCCGTGGTCTTCGACCTGGCGCAGGCGCTGCGCGACGGGGTCCTCCTGTGCCAGCTGCTGCACAACCTCTCCCCCGGCTCCATCGACCTCAAGGACATCAACTTCCGGCCGCAGATGTCCCAGGTGAGCGCCCGGCGCGGCGGGAGGGCCCCGGGGCTCCGGCGTTCGCGCTGCCCGACGCGCGGACGGAACGCGGAGGTCGCAGCGGCGGCTGCCCAGGCGCCCTGGCTGGGGCGGCCGTGCTCTGGGGACGCGGGCGGGCGACGGGAGGGCGCGCCCCGGCCCTCCGAGCCGCGACCTCAGGAGGCGCGAAGTTGGCCAAAGTCCCTCCAGCCTGGGTCGCGCCGCCGTCCCTCCAACCCCCGGGCACTGCTCCGGTGCGGCGGTTGCGCGGTCTGCGCCGCCTGGGATGGGGGAGGCTCCCGCGCTGCGCTGGCTCTGCGGGGCCCTGCGAGTGGCCCCTCAGCCCCCGGGGAGCCTGCCGAGCCGGGTGTAAGCGTCGTGGGGCGCATCCTCGGGCCTCGCGCCTGCTGGCCGGACGCCGGGGGAAGAGCGGGCGCGGTCGCTGTGCCGGCCCGGGGCGCGGCTGGAGGGCCCGGGAGGGGCTCGGGGCGGGAGCCCTCCGGGCCGGAGGGAGCTGGGTTCGCCCCGGGCACCGCCCCCTCGCCGGCCTCCGCCTCTTCCAGGACCCGGGCCCGGGTCGAGCCGCCTCGAGGATCCCCAGGGCCACTTGGCGCCGGTCCTGGCCCCCATCGCTTTCCTAACACCCCCACCCCTCCTTCGGCGCTGAGTGTGGTCTTTGTCGCGGCGGAGACACGCGTGCGGCCGCGGGGCCACGCAGGAAAATGCCTGCCCCGCCGAACGGAGCTGCTTTTCTTGGCCTCTTAAAGGGAACTTGGCTAAGACTTGAGCAGAATCGGGGCTTCCATCCTCTTCTCCGGGGGTCGCGGAATCCTTACTGGGAGCAGCTTAGAAGAGGTCGGGGGAGGCAGAGGGGGTGCCAGCCGGGTCCAACCAGCACCAACGAGGCGCCACCTTCCAGCCAGCTCAGCAGCCCCTCACGGCGCGCAGTGGCAACTCCATGTGGAGAGGGACCATTCACCAGTGGGACTTAGGACGTGGTTCCTGGGAAGGAGGGAGAGTGAGTCACTAGCGATTCCAGGCTGAGCTGCCGAGGCCTCTGCCCTTTGGTGGTGACTGCGTTTCCTAGGAGACCGGGCCCTTCTCTGCTGGGTTGGGGTGGGGGGTGCTGACAAAGGCAAGCCCTGAGGGGAAGGGGCCGCCTTCCCACTGGGTAATTATTACCCAGCACCGCCTGGACCGGCTTAGTAGGTGCCCTCAGGAGCCTCCCTGGGAGCCAGCCCTTCTTCCCGCAGGGTGTCAGTGGTCAGGTGCAGGTGGCGGTCACCGCTGCAGCGGGCTTCCCCAGATCTGTTCTCAGAGCCCCACGGGGACTGGGAAGTCTGGACTCCATTTTATGGCTGGAGAAACTGAGGAGAAGGGTAGCTGTGGGGGAGCAGGGCTGGGCCTTGAACCGAGGCGGCTGCCTTTGATGTGAGTTCCAGGGGCTGCCCAGGCTGACTTGCTTGGGCAGGATTTCCGGCTGCTTGCAGGCTGGGGCTCAGGGCAGAGGCAGGGCAGCTGGGTCAGCACAGAGGAGCCTTGGGAGGACTCGCTGGGTCTCCCAGCTGCCCCTCCCCAGCTGTGGTTTGGGAAGATGGGAAGAAGAGGGGGCCCTGGCTGTGGCAGGTGGCTTGGCTCAGCCTTTGCACTGGAAGTTCAAGCCCGAGACTTCCCGGGGTCTCTGGAGCCATTGGCCAGGCAGCAATATGAACCCTGGCACAGGCCCCTTGAACCCTGCTGCTGGGCCGGTGCAGGGGCATCTGGGGGTCCCGCTGCCGAGCCGGTGAAGGGGTGTGTAGGGGCCCTGCTGCTGGGTGGGTGGAGGGTGTGTAGGGGCCTGGGCGGTAGGAGGACCACATGGGTGTGTATCTGTGTGGCTCTCTGCTCTGATTGAATCCTGGCACTGTCCCCTCCCAGGTAGGCAATGACCTCCAGAGCCTCAGTTTCCCCATCTGTGTCATGAGAACAGTCATAGCAGTCCCCTCTTAGCCATGCTGTGAGGATTTGCTAAGGGCAGGCACAGAAGGCACACCCTTAGCACAGTGCCCATGAAATGACCATCACCTGGACACTGGCATGTATGGCCCTGTGTAGCTGAGGCTGACGTTGCCCTCCACTCCTCTGTCCCGTGGAGGGTGGGCCACCTTTGTACGGCTGTTGCCTGCACAGGGATGGCTGCAGGTGCTCCCTTAACCCTCATGTTGGCTATGACGGCCCCATCTGTACATTCACACGTGGAGAAACCCCTTTACTGCATCTGGCTGCACACAGGAGCTGGGAGAGGGACTTCATTTCTCTATATGGCTGGTGTTTGTTATCTGGGAAACTCACTTTTTTTTTTTTTTCTTTTTGGAGATGAAGTCTTGCTCTGTCGCCCAGGCTGGAGTGCAGTGGTGCAATGTCGGCTCACTACAACCTCCACCTCCTGGGTTCAAGCGATTCTCTTGCCTCAGCCTCCTGAGTAGCTGGGACTGCAGGCACGTGCCACCATGCCCAGCTATTATTATTATTATTATTATTATTATATTATTTGAGATGGAGTCTCGCTCTGTTGACCAGGCAGGCGTGCAGTGGCGCAGTCTCAGCTCATTGCAACCTCCACCTCGGGTTCAAGCAATTCTCCTGCTTCAGCCTCCTGAGTAGCTGGGATTACAGGTGCCTGCCGCCATGCTTGGCTAATTTTTTGTATATATATATATATTTTTTTGAGATGGAGTTTCGCTCTTGTTGCCCAGGCTGGAATGCAATGCTGCAATCTCAGCTCACCACAATCTCCGCCTCCCAGGTTCAAGTGATTCTTCTGTGTCAGCCTCCTGAGTAGCTGGGATTACAGGCGTGTGCCACCTCACTCAGCTAATTTTGTATTTTTAGTAGAGACGATATTTCACTATGTTGGCCAGACAGATCTCGAACTCCTGACCTCGTGATCCGCCCGCCTCGGCCTCCCAAAGTGTTGGGATTACAGGCGTGAGCCACGGCGCCCCACCCATGCCCAGCTATTTTTTGTATTTTTAGTAGAGATGGGGTTTCACTGTGTTGGCTAGGCTAGTCTCGAACTCCTGACCTCGTGATCTGCTCACCGCAGCCTCCCAAAGTGCTGGGATTACAGACATGAGCCCCCGCGCCTGGCTGAAACTCATATTTCTTAAGGAGTGGGGATGGGATGGGGAAGAGGTCATCTCCACCCTTGGTGGTTGGGTCATAGAAAAATCACATCTGCCCTTTCTTACCTGCCCTGCTGTGGCCTAAGCACAACCTTAGGTGGGGGTTGCCACCTGTGTTTAATAGGTGAGGCCATCAAGGTTCGGAGAGCTTGAGTGACTCCTCACCACGCCGCCGCTCCTGCCCAGATCGGTAAGTGGCAAAACCAACATAGGGATTGCAGTTTCCCTCCCAAGACTGTTTAAATAAATGAGGACTGCAGACCTTCCTAAGCGGGCTTGCTGTCTTGCGGACTTTCTGAGAGATGTCCCTGGCCTCGTTCTTGGATCGTCATGGTGTGTGTCTGTTTTCAAGGGGTGGCTGGGTTGGGGGGTGGGTGCGTGTGATCCCTGGCTAGTGAGTTGCAGGGTCCCTCGAGGGCACATGCTGGGGAGTCTCCCACCTCCCTGCCAGTCATGGCATATGGGGCCGTCTAGCCCGGAGGCCTCTATGATGTTCCCTCCTTCCAGAATCTCCCCTGGCTTCTCATGGTGACATCTTATTTTCAGAGGACTTGGAGCGCCCCTCCCACTTTGAGTTTAATCTAGGCTGGGTTATTTGCCCTAATGGATCATCATAGCAGTGTGCATTTATGCAGCACCTGCTGTGCGCAGAACCGGGTGCTAGGAGGTGGTCACAGAGATCCCAGTTGCCCACCTGGTCATTTCTTTTGAAGCTGGCAAGATCTACTTTATTTTATTTTATTTTTTATCCAAAGTGCCTGGAAGCCCCATGGGTTTAATTAAACTAATTGGGTATGACCACAATCTGCTGACCCTAACAAGAGACTGGGTATGTCTGGAGAAGCTTCGGTTGGGAGGTCCCGAGGTTGCCTGTGCCAGCATCTGCAGATTGCACCCTTAGGGCACCACCCGCCCAGTCTCTGACTTGCGCACATCGCCCTGGTGGCCTCTTCCCCGTAAAACAGATCAGGCAGCCATTGCTGGGACACCACGCAAAGGCTTGGCCCCGGGCCCGCCAGGGTCTGTCCCCAACCTCTGCCTCAACTCCTTGTGCTCCCTGCCTGTTCCCAGACACGCCATGCTCCCTGCCTGTTCCCAGACACGACATGCTCCCTGCCTCTTCCCAGACACGCCGTGCTCCCTGCCTGTTCCCAGACACGCCAGCCTGGCGATGTTTTTGGCACCCCCCTCCAGGGCCTTTTTGATGTGTGCCATCATGAGCTGTGCGCTTGCTGGAAGACCTTCTCTCCTTCTAACCTGGTTCTTCCTGTAGGAGCTGGTATCGGGGCTGCCTCCCCTTGGCAGCCTCCCTGGGTTTCACCCGCTCCCCACCCTGTCCTGCACGCGCTCGAACCTCCGTCTCACTCCTTCACTGTTCCAGGGCTCCCTCTGGCCTCGTCCTCTCCGCTTTTTGTTTCATTACACAGTACCCTTGCTGCTCGTTCTGCAAAACTCAGCAGCTGGACAGCTGGAGAGTGTAACGAGGGACCTCGATCCTAACGAGGGACCGAGTGTGTCTGGAGCACCTTTGTGTGACTGCCCCGCTTCCGGGTCTGAGCCCCTCCAAGGCAGGGCCGTGGCTGGGCTTGCTCCTCTCTGGGTCCCTCAGAACCTTGTGCGTTCATTCAAGGAATAATAAATAAATAAATAAATAAAATATAATTAAATAATAAATGAATAAATAATAATAAAACCCTGCCGCATGCCATGCGGGCTTTGTGCCTGTGAGGGGAGGGAGGACAACAGGCCGGGGCTGTCCCCGCTCTCGTGAGGCTTCTCGTCGCGCAAGGGCCCCAGTGGATGTTGATGAGGAGCTTGGTAACTGAAAAGCGACAG